CCACCAGGTGAAGTGAAATGCGGTACAGGAGGAAGCACTGAACAATGTTCATCTACACACACTGCGATGATACAGAGCTAATTGCAAATAGCCAGTTTCCCTTAAATACAGTAGTTTAGTAAATGTTAAAGTTGAGTTACTTTTTGCTGCTTGACTAAATTATGTCGTCATGTGAGAAAAAGAACAAACCTTGTGCAAATTCTGTCTTGTGCTCTTTGGTCAGGTATTTTGTTGCTAAGCATGTTAAACTGTTTGAATTAAACATTTAAATTTTGATGAGAGTTAGATAAGACGCTTGATTAACCTGGAAATCCAGATGCCCGCTGAATTGCCATAGGACCAATCAGATCAGTCTATCTGACAGAGGCGGGCTCTGGGTGGACGTAACATGATGCGGACAGCGCTGTGCCGTAGGGGTCGAAAAGTAAACAGCCAAGATGGCAGCTGCCAAAGGACCGAGTCCATTCAATTTAGCCTTGGAAGAAATGCTAAGCCAACTACACTTTTTTTTTCCTTGAGAGAGGAAGAGAAGACTGCCCTAGAAGCCTTCGCTCCCAGGAAGGATGTTTTTGCCGTTTTGCCAACGGGATACGGCAAAAGCACAATATATCAGTTAGCCCCACTGGTCGGCAAACCAATGGGGCTAACTGCAATGAATACGTCACCTTGTTTTTTGCTCTGATTGGCTATCTGCTATCCAATTGTGTGCAGCGGCATTTGAAATGCCTCAGTTAGTGCCGCCCCTTGGGTAGGAATGGTGTATTGGTGAGGGCCAGACTCAAAATCTTTCTAGATTTGAGTCTGGATTTCCAGGATAACGCTTGATACCACTCCCACATCTGTAGAATAAATGGGAAGCAGTTGCCTAGCTGAGCTTGGCATAATGACTGGAAACAGGGTGAAACAGCTAGCCTGGCTGTATCAAATGATAAGTCGTCTACCAAATGTGTACCAAAAAAGTCCTCCTTTTTTCAGACTCTCTTCTAAGCTAACTGCATTCTGGCTCCAGCTTTATATTCAGTAGGCTACTGCACAGATATGGAAGTGATATTGTTCTTCTCATTTAACTCTCAGCTAGGAAGCAAAAAAATGTGTTTTCTGATATGTTGAACTGTCTTTTAAAACACTATTTATCCTTAAAATTTCATACCAAACTTCAGAGCTCTTTGCTTTATATGAAAATACATTCAGCATCATCAGATGTGAGACCTCTCTGTTACTTTGTGCTGGTATGAATGCTGGAGCGTGTTGATAAAGTCTCTTTAGGTTCTGGGAACTGCACACTGTAAAGTAAATCACATTATTCCACCTGCAGTACTTACGTATGTAATTTGCAAGGCTTTTTTTTACCTTGTAACAAGCAAACAAAGCAGCCTGACATTCATCTGAGTTTACTCTGAGGAAGTCAAGCCAGGTGAGAACACAGTTAGTCTATTTGTGAACATCACAAACACTGCACAGAATCTGTTTGTGAACCTTATTTCAGTTGCTGCAGTTGGGCGACACAGAAACCTGTTTCTCCTTTGATGCACTCATGTGGAGTTTGAGTTGTGGCAGTTAAGGACAATTTCTTTTTTGCTTTCCCACTCCTGCGTCTTATTTTGCACACACGCTCTAATGTTGTGGGGCGTTCTGTTAAATGTTTGTCAGGATGGCAAGAAATTGATTTGACAGTAATCCAAAAAAAAAATCTGTTATAGTTAACAGCTATGTGCAGTGTAGATTGAGTGACATTTTTTGTTTTACTGCATGAGAGATTAGTGATACTCCCTGCGGTGCGACGGTTTCCATATTTAGAAGCCAGAGAGCAGAATGCAAAGGATTAGCTACCTGTGAGAAGGTCGGCGGCTCATTAATCTACCACTGTGATTCAGAGCAGCCTGCCCCACTAAAAAAATCTCAAATTCAAAAGAAAGGAATGACACTTGTGTCTCTTTGCGGTATTTCAAATTACAAGTATAACCTCAAGTGGTCATTATCAGTTTGCATTCTGAGTGGACCATTGATTTGAAATATGAGGTACTGCAACACAATACTCCAGCTTCCCTACCTAATTATCTTCTTGCTCCATATGAGAGGGTTTTCTTTTCTATTCCCACTTAACCTATTGTGCACCACAGATCTTCAGTCTAATTTAGCTGAAATGGCAGCATACATTTCCTTTATCCTTTCTTAGATACCTGATAGAACTATTTTGACGCATTTTGTTCAGTTTCATGCCAGAAGTTCATCTAATGAGAAGCAACCAGAATAGATGAAGCAAGAACTTTGCCTGAGGCCAGAACTGCACCAAATGTGATTAAATAGTAAAATAATGAATTCAAGCCAAAATAGCTGGAATTGATCACTTTTGCATGGCTGCACTTTGCATTTACAAGACTCTAATAGAAAGTTTTTATGGAAACATTTACAGTTTAATGTGTTTTTAAAAACTTTAACACCAGCCTGTCGTCCCAGTCGTTATAATTTCATCATGCATGCAGTCCTGAGACACGTCAGTGGATATATATATGAAAAACTCCCAGCGACTCTCCATGCATTTGATTTCAGCTCTAAATATAACTGCTTTGGACACATAATATGGATGATATTTTTGACATGAGCTGCCATTTACGTTAAACCCAGTCCCAGGAATAAGTGTCATCCTATCAGCCTTTCATTTGTGTGATTACTGCTTATCTGCAGTAAAGATACAGACCAGCGCTGAGAGAATTAGTGGATTAATTAAAAAGCCTAAAGGGCGTCATTATCGTGTGGTGTCAAATATGTGTATATTTTTAGGATCATAATTACCATAAATGTGGGAGTTCATGTTAGTAATGATGCATGTCATAAGCAGTTACCCTTTTTAGTTCCACTCAAATGTCACATATATTATTGTAGAATATTTCTTTAACTCGAGTTCATGCACAAGAAATCACAACCCTGTGAGTCAGAGTAGACTGAATTTATGTCGTGGTCAATAAGATGTTTGTTTTGTGTGAGTGAAAGTACATTTTGTTAACTTTGCAAAATCCATGTAATCCAACTACAATCTACTGTTATATTCACATACTACAGTTAGAGGTAGCAGACAATTATCTTACCACAAAGACTGGAAACAGCGCCTGGCTGTAGGTTCCCGTTGGTTTCACAGTTTCAACAAATGAGATACAACATGATAATCAGTGAGCAGCCTGGTCTCACTACCAGGGTGTCAAAATATGCTATTTAGGCAGTTTCATCATCACCTTTAGCATCTGTATGAGATGCACTGGGCTTTCAACAAACTTCAATGTAAATCCATCTGTGTTATTATCAGACGGTCAGGGCAATGGACGCTGTATACAGAGGGTGAAAGTCCTCTTAGAGTGAGTAAAGGGGAGGTGGATGGGTCCAACAAGCACAGGACTTTCACCCATTAGACCAGTGTTTGTATGTGCGAAACTAAAAGTCAACATTGAGTCATTTTCTCACCTGAGTTGTTAGTCTCTTAGTTAGTCCCTTGAGTCATTAATTGTGTTGACCAAGATCTTTTCCTAACCAAGCAAGTGGTTTTGTTTCCCTAACCTGACCATCAACCCTTCTTAGTCTCAAAAGCCCTTGATCCAACTCTTAACAGAGGAGACAAGGAAGAAAGCGAGGCGTATCTTAGCAGATAGCGCCCATCCTCTCTTCGGCCAGTTTCAGCTCTTGAGCTCCAGGAGGTGCTGGAGTCCCTTTGGCAACCAGAAATGTATTTTAGAAGTTTAGACGTTTTAGAAGTCCTTCATCCCAGTATCCTTAACTCAGCAAAGTGACTGATGAGTTTTAAACCACAGTTATCTTTTGTTGTCTTTTGTGTTTGGTGAGCCAAAGACAAATTTCCACCAATGGTGGACGATAAAGATATATTCTGTTCTATTCTATTAGTCCATGAGGCCACTTATATGTTTGTGGTTATGTCTCTTTGTTTTATACTATGTGTCCTACTGTTTTCTAATTTTACTGTAAAGCACTTTGTGAATTCTTTCTGTGAAAGGTGCATGACACAGTGCTGACCCCTATTGCTTCAAGCTACAATGCAAAAGGCTGCCCCTGACGTCATTATAATAATGCCAGGGGCTTCTGGGAGGGAGGGATGGGGATGAGATCAAGTTGTGCCAAGTGCTTTTTTTTTAAAAAACTTTCCCCCGATCCAAGTCTTTATGCTAAGCTAACCAGCTGTTGGCTGTTGTTTAATGTTTATCACACAAGTATAAAGTGTGGTATCAATCTTCTCATCTAACTCTCTGAAGGACAGTGGAAAGGCTTATTTCCCAAAAATTAAAACTCTTCCTTTAGATTTTACATTCATACAGTTTAACATGCTTTTGGTACCAAAATATTAGTGAACACAAAAGAAGATATACTTAATCTAAAGATTTATTTTCCTTTAATTTTAGTTTACCACATGCTGACATAATTTTTCAGTGCCTAGTTATCAGAAGTCAAAAGTAACTAGTTAAATATTTCCTCAAGTATTGAACTACCTTACTCTACTCCACTATATTTTAGAGGCAGTACATGACAAATTATTAGGGATGTTCCCTGGTCAGTCAAGGACATTTTCCGTTTCCACAACAATAATGTTTGTCTTAACAACTTAATATCTTAACTTGTAGTTCAAACACCATCTCAAGCACCTCTAATCTGGCAGAAAATTATGCTTTCAAGCTTTAATCCCTATTGTTTTATTGGTTTTGCGACACAGAGAACGCTCACCCATGTTTGATTTAATTGAATTATTTTGGGAGCAGGAGGATCAAAGGTTAAATTAGCGTGTATTGGCGAGCCTCTCCTCAGTTGCTCAGCTCTGCACATGGGGCTTTTACTCCACACGACGTCAGAGGGACATGTGTGGGTACATGTGAATTATATGTGTGGGGCATGTGGTGTGGTGAAAAGAAGCACACCCCCTGAGCTCAGAGCGACTTGCTGGGTTTTCTCAGGTTTCACTCTCTCAGTTACTCCTAAACATTTGCCTCATTTTCTCCTGTCAGAACTTATCTGCGTCCCATGAGAAGACAACCGGGGAGACCATGTCAGAGAAGGAGATTTTCAAAGCGGAGAAAGTCTTTATCAAAGACCCTGTGGAGGGAGGAGCAGGAAACGCAACCCAGCCAGGGACAAAGCGTCACGTAAGTACAACACAAGTCATGTGGAAACTATGACAGAAAGCTTTGGCATTGTCAGGAGATAAAATCAATGGACGTGACAGTCCGAGCTGGACATTTATTGCCTTTCAAATCGGACAGTTTAATTAGAATCTTGTAATAAGTTAATATGCAGATATTCCCACAAGTTTTTATAGTTTCTTCTTTGTAATGGGTTTATTGTGTGAGTGTCAGATAGTGCCTGCATGAAAGGACTTTCTTCTTCTCTGCATATATTTTGGTCATGCTGGCTTTTAAGAGTTTATAGTCAAGCACAGAAAACAAAACAATCACACTTTAGTTTCAATTTAATAAAAACTTTTCTGTTTTTCAGCCTTCACTGGATCACGTGAGCCTCTCTCACACCAAAGCGTCTCCCTCAGTCAGTGTTCAGTCTGAAAATACCCCCAACCACGTCGCTGCCGGCACGGCCTCTATGGAAACAGCTGTTGATAAACACAGGGGCATTTCCCAGCGGCAGTGTCACGATACCTCTGGACTTACTGAGGTTAGCTCGGGTTACTTTGTAAATAGGGCGTCTGTGTCAGAAGACAGAATAAGCCCCACAAACTCGGCAGACCTGTTCCCCACCCCGGCATCATCCAGAGAGTCCATCCTCTCAGAGGGCTCGGACAGAGAGAAGGGCTGGTCAGCTGTGCAGCTTTGCTCTGTCACCTCTCCCACTTCTCTCAGCCGCACTGTCTCTCCCTGCTCATCAGTCCGCTCTGGCGTCTTCTCTCCCTCTGTCGTCCAGATCAAGAGGCACTTTCTGGCTCCTGGCTCTAGTCTAGTTCAAACCCCTTGTTTCTCATCCTGTGAGAGCCTGTCCTCCTCTGGCTGTCCCCAGTCCCCTCCTCCTCCTACCCGGCACCGGCCTCCTCTCACCCGACTCTCACTCCTCACTGCCATCTTGAGAAAAGGCCGTCTCCCTGTCCTGTCTGCTGCTGTGCAGAGGCCTTACACCCCCTGCTGGCCTGTTAGCCCCGTGACCCTGTCCTTCTGTAACGCATGCTCAGCAGCCTCCAGTGTGGCCTCCATCCCCCTCGAGTTTTCCTCCCAGTTCTCCTCATCAGCATCTATAGATAGTCAGAGCCACATTTACAGGGAGCCTCATAAATACGTCACATCTCCTCCACCTGTGCAGTCGAACAAGCTCAGCAGTAGAAGCCCACAAACTCAAGTGCAAAGCTGCTCGGAGCAAATTAGCTCAGGCAATGTGCCTAGATGGGAGCAGGTTATTTCACCCTTGGCAAGGAAGAGCAGCACACTCCCCCGAGCTCCACCTCTATTCTGCTCAAACTTCAATTCTGTTTCTCCATTAAAACATGAAGTAATAGACTGTTGTGCAACTTCCAAGAAGCTGCAACACACACACATGTCCACCTCCAAGTCCCCTGAGTTGAAGCCCATCAACACTGGCATACACCTCAAGGGCCCTGCAGATAACAACCATAAAAAACTCATCTCCTCGTCCCCCAAAGTTACTAATGAGCAAGAAACCTCCATGCCCCAGAAATGGGGTCGCCCAGAAAATTCATCTCTCTCAAGGCTTCAATTGCTTTCTCAGCAACTGAGATCTCCACCTGTCTGCCCTCCTCGGCTTCAGCCTTCTCAGTCACACTTACCGGGTGTCACAATCATGCGTAACACAGCATCACCACCTGTACAAAACACCACAGAGAGGTGTGAGTCAGGGAGGAGCTGTCCTGATTCCAAAAGTGCCACAACATCAGCTCACATAGCTCACTGTCTGTCTCCTTCCCGCTACACACCCATTGCTTTTCCCGGATGGCCGTCGCCCACCAGCTCCCCCACACCTACGCCCTCTCCTGCTCCACCAATCAGAGACTTCACCCCGTCCCCTTCTCTCTCCATGCGCTCCACGCCCTCCCCAAGGCCGGGGAGTGGAATATCAGACTGCAGTGACAGGGAGGGTAAAAAAAGAAAGGTAGCTGCTCTGCTTGCCATATGCATGTTTAAACTGAGATTATTATTTAATATGCTCCGTGTGACATACTGTTCTCCCACGCTATGTAGTTAAAAACAGATTTCGCTCATTTGATAGCAGGATATCAAGTGCTGTTCTCTGCGTGGAGCTGTTTGTAGATTTCTGTTTGTGTTTGCCACATCATTTATTAATGTTGTTATAGATCCTTGCGTCTCAGAGTTTTCAAACATTCTGTTTGCTGGATTGTAATGACTGACACATCTGAAATGTCATATGTTGAAGCAAGAGGAAAACCAACATCACCAAATCGATACAGCAGCTTTTTTGAACTCAGGTTTCTAGGCCAGACATACATGCTTTAAGTTATGTAACGCAAGTAGTATAAAATTCAGAGTATTAACCATCAAGAATTGAATTTATTCAGCCGATGTGGGACTTGCCTGTCAGTTTGAAAAAGTTGTTTGTAGCTGAACTTTTTGCTGACATTTACAGCCAGTCAAAAGAGCAAACAAACACACTTCAGTATTGTTGTTGCCATCGGGTGTCTGGAGCATGGCTGTTTTGCATGATTAGTAGCCTGCGGCGGTGTGAGATAAAGCATGCCTAAAGACATGTAAAACACTTAAGACAAGCTTCCACGAGACATTTATACAAAGTTTATCTTTAGTGAAATGCAGACATTTGAATTAATTTATATTCATGGTCTTCTTTTCGCTCTCTATGAACTCCAGACACACAAGATTAAGTCAAGCTACAAATCGCTCGCTGCAATTCCCACAAACACCCTCCTGTTGGACCAGCAGGTGAGCTTCCTCAATTGACTCTAATCCCACTAACTCATCTTGTTATCCTGTTAAACATCCAGTGATATGAAGCCCTCTAGTGATTATTGCTATGTGGAGCATCATGTGAAGATTGTGAAATGGGAATAAACTCATGAAGTTTGTTTTAACTAGAATTACTTCCACAAAATCTATACAATCACCACAGTTTCCCAAAATTAGCGTCACCAACTCAGTACCTGACCAAATGTCTCCCCCTCTGTTTCTGACTCATGACGTTGAGTTGACCTTTGACCTTTTGGATATGAAATGTCATCACTTAATCGTTTTATCCTGCGAGACATTTGAGTGAAATGTTGTCATAGTTAGCCAATGAATTCTTGAGTTATGTTCAAAAATGTGCTTTATAAGGTCACAGTGACCTTTTCCACCAAAATCTACTCAGTTCATCAGTGAGTCCGCCGAGGCGTTGCTGAGATATCGCATGCCCAAGAATGGGACAGGCGGACAGACCACCTCAAAACACACTGCCTCTGGTCATGGCTGTTTATGGGGCAGAGCCATAGTAAGTAGGGATGGGAACTGGTAAGGTTTTGGTGACACCAGTGCAATTAGCGATTCTGCTTATTTGTCTTGATCAATTTTATGTGTGGAAAAAGGCCTTCACAGGTTTTTCAGTATCGTTTTCTTACCTCTGAGTCAGTGTGCCGATGAAACGAAAGAATATTTGTACAGCATTCATCTTCATGTAGGTTTTCGTATGCATGGAGCTAATGCTGTTATGACACAGGATAATTACACTCGGTAACTGACATGTTGCTTAGCTTGAAAGCCGTGGCACTTGTGCGTAGAGTGTCAAATACATGGCATTCCTGAAATTTAAGCTCATGTTGCGTAGACAGATGTTTCAGCACATTAGTGGTGTTACCCCCTTACTTGAGATTATTTTACAGAAGTGAAAAGCATCACTGTTGTCAGCTTATTTGTGAAACGAAGCCACGCTTTGGACCATTTCTTCCTCTCTGCCATCACTTTGCACGTTACCAGCAGCATAGATGTGAGATTGACGTCACCGTGGTGCATTGTGCAACTGTCTGAAACCATCTCCTTCAGTAAAATGAATTCAATTCAGTTTTATTCATAAAGCCAAATATCACAAATCAGTTTGCCTCAGAGGGCTTTACAGCAGATGACATCCCTCTGTCATAAACTTGGAGGCAAATGAATCTGACAGTTTGGAACCAGTTCTCAACTAGAACTGGTTCTTGATTCCCATCCCTAAAACAAAGCCTCCACTCATCAGGTTTTATAGAGGATTTTTGAGATAAAACTTGACAGAAAACTAATTTCACAAGGATTCAAAAGCTAAGTAAGATGTCAGTCTTAAAACCTTTTTTAAATGTCAAATCAGACCAAACGAGATGTAAAAACATGGCATATTACTGTCCTATGATCACTGCAGTATGGTATATTTAGAGCTGCAGGAGGGAGAGCTGACTGAGAGGAATACAGAGTGGCTGAATATAAATTATCTGTTGGAGATGTTGGAATGTTGTCTAAACCTACTGTGCAATCACTCAGAGTAAGCAGCAGTCCTGGCAGGGAGTTCAATCTGTCCACTCTGCTTTGCATTCACAGGCAATAGACGAGCAGGTAGAGAGGGAAGAGAGTCCATGTGACAGGTTGGAAAGAGGTGATACGTTGGACAGAAGTGTTGCAGACACCCACGCTGAGGTATCAGTGCACACATCACTGCTGGTTTTCACCGCACACTTTCTACAACAGTCCGATAACATCAAATGTTTTCTACAGATGTGCTCGCCCGCTGAGCTCCGGCAGCAGTCAGAGGAACTTTATGCAGTTATTGATGAGATATTGGCAAATTCCATTCCAGAAGTGAGTTCAGTTCATTTCAATTGAATAAAATGTGTGAAAATGTTGACCTATGACATCAAAAGTGATTTAATGGGTTTATTCTTGCAACTTTTAAGAGCAAAACATCCCGCTCACAGCAGTCCGACAGGTCATCGACCAATGCTGGTCTACAGGTACAGTGTGTTTCTTTAACAGCATGTGGCACACTCACTAACTCTTGATTTCTCCTTCAAGTTTCTTAAAGAAATAGTCTGACATCTTTGGAAAATAGGCTCATTCGCTGATAGTTGAGAGGATTAATACCACTCTCAGATATGAGAGTTGCTTCAGTCCCATCAGATCTGTATCATTCACCTGGAATTTAGCCTGACATATCAGGTACGAGATTTAGAGAAAAGTTTGACCAACGCTTGTTCACACAGCATGAGTTTTTAAAGATGACACCGGGTGTAATAAAATCTGTCACCACAGAAATGCAATGTCACATAAAAAAAAGTTCAAAGTCAAAAAGAAAAGCAATTAACTGTCCTAAAACTAGGGTATCACAATTCTGAAATACTAAATATGGTTAACATAAGGAAAATTAGAAACTGTCTTAAAGCTGAAATACACACCTCTTCTGTCGGGCTGTCAGGCGATTAAAAAAAGTAATCTAATTAATGACATGCTCTGTGATTAATCAATCTAAATCAATAGCAGTATAGAGGGGGAAATTACAACAAGTGTAATAGTGAAGCCGGATTTTATTATTATTATTATTATTATTATTATTATTATTATTAATAATAGTAATAATAATAATAATAAGAAGAAGAAGACATTTATATTTAAAAAGGCACCTTTCAAAACACCCAAGGTCACCGTACAAAGCATGACATAACATAACATAAAATAACATAACATAACATAACATAACATAACATAACATAACATAACATAACAAGAGACATGAATTGGCAAACACATATTGTTGCTGTGATGAAAATCAGACGGGCTGTGGTAGACAGGTAGACTTATTCAATTTGTGTCTGTGTGTCTCAAGTGTAGGTTGACAAGGCTAGCTGCTAGGCATCACAGGCTATACTACCTCAGGGTTCGCTGCTAAATGCTTTGCATTGAGGTCATAGTCAGGCTTGCAGTACTCTGATGGTACAATAACTCCTTACTGCGGAAACTGCAGAGAACGGTGGTCATATCAACAGTTAAATTTGGGCATTTTTAAAATGTAAATGTTCCATTTACATTTTCTTTGTGTGGGTCTTCGTGTCATTCTTGTCCCCTTTCTTAATTTGGAGGTTTTTGTAGGACACAGCGCAGGTGTAAATCTTTTTATTTTCCTCAGCAGTATTTTGCAGAGATTTCAGTTGCAGGGTGGATAATTGATCAGTCCAATCAGAGCAGATCAGTCAGATGATGGATGAGAGGAGCAGCTGTTTGTGAGTGAAAGCAAACATTTAGACCCGGCACGATTACATTTCACTTTTACTGCTTCTGACATTTTGCTGCTCCGCCTATGCCCAGAGTACACTCCGCAATGAATAATGGCATACATATTCAAACAGCACTCATAATAAACAGTCCAGCTCCAAAAACAGAAAATCAAAACGTGGCAGCTGATGTTTTAATTGTAGGAAACCCTGCCTCACCCTCTGCACCTTTGTTGGTGGTTTTTGAGGTAGACAGAGTGTCAGAGTTTCTTGAAGAGTAAAAAAAGAATTAATCGTGGCTCACAAGAACGTCTGTACACTTGGAACAATAATAATATAGCTAATTGGCCGATACATTTCAATAGTATGTAAATGTTAGCTTTGTACTGTAGTTCACATTGATTTAGACTGAGCCAGCTCACATGATTATGATTTTCTTGCTTCAGTACACAACAGCTTGTATAATTTAACATCTCTCACCAACAGCCTGCAGAACGTCATGAAACAGCTAAATTGAAATTAGAACTTATACAATAAGTCATTGAATTAAGATAAAATAGAAAAATAGGAAAAGTAAAACTGCAACCTTGAGGCCACAGAAATGAATGCTCTGCCCAGTGCTTTATGGAGATACAAACTGGAAGTGAGATAAAAGTGAATTCTGACTGTATAATAATCTGCACATGAAATGAAAAGGCATCTGTTCATTATTCATCAAAGGGGAGATCTGCTCATCATTTCCAAAAGAAACATACAAATTAAAAGTTTTCCATTTTCCCCAACAGATGAGGCTTTTGTGACTCTTCTGTTCTGTTTCAGATGTTTCTTTCTTTCTCTTTTACTTTCAGCAGGACTCGTCATTTACAAAATCCTTGGGACGTGAAACCAAATATGTGAGTGAGAGTCAGATCGTTTTGTCTGTACAATTAAAGGAAAATATTTTTCTCAACATTTTTCCACCCACATAAGAAAAAGTGACAACCCACCAGCGACAGTTTCACAAATTTAACTTTCAATTTTAGAGCTGAGCTGTTGTGACAAGTCAACGTTTCATTGTGTTTTGAGCTGCAGAGGGCCCTAAAGAGAGCATTTTCCATCAGGAATTTTACAGCTTCAAACGTCTTTACACAGATTTGGTACAGCCTGCATTAACAGGCTCTCTGGAGGGAAAAGACAGAACTGCAACATTAAAGGAATAGCTCAACATTACGAGAAAAATGCACAAAATATATTTTGTTTTTAAGCGAGTCAGATGAGATAATATTAGCCTAGCTTAGCATAAAGACTAGAAACAGGGGGGAACAACTACCCTGGCCCCTCTAAAGTTTAAGAATAAGTCTACCAGCTTCTAAAAAAGCTCACTACTTACTTTGGAGGTGAGTTCAGATAGTAGTTTGACCACTGCAGCGTTTGTGTTTATTTGCCCTGTTTTCTCTTACATTGTTTCTTCAGGCATCTGTATGCAGCTTGCACCCATCTACCGGTGTGGAAAGGAAGCTTATGAATCCTAAAAAGGTTGGTACTCAATAATCATTTGATCACGTTTACCACTTTACCAAGTGCTTCAAAACTGATGACATATGTTGTTTTGTAAAGCAGGAATGAATTCATCTCTGCTGTCAAACTCTGAATTCTCCCTTCCAGACAAAGCCCGGGGTTATTCGCCCCATGACGGCCATTCCAAGGCTGACAGTTGAGGACAAGGAAGAATTTCATTCTAACCCATTTAGACAGGTTGTCGTCAAGCAGACTGACAGTAGAAAGGTAAGCTGGTGGCATCAGCTCATATAACAGTGTGTTTGTTTTAAACCCACATAGTGACACGCAGTAGTTTTATTTTTATTTTAAGGGATAGCACCCACGCTGCTCATGAGCTTAAATTAAAAAACAACTGGATTCCAACTTTGACAAGTTTCAACAGCAGAGAAAAGGTCCAAGTGACTAAAGACACTTCTCAAACTATTGTCCACTTCTCTGCTGTCCATCCGTATATGTGTGGTTTGTTCCAAAGATTGTATGTCTGAATACTGCATATTCACATGATGATAACTGAGCCAGTTCCACCTACTGAAGAAGGACTAGTAATATGGTTAAACTCGCCAGTTTCTTCACAAGATAATATGTTGTTGACATTTCTGCAAACCACAGATATGTTACATTTGTACATTATTATATAGTAGATACTTTGAAACTTTACGTTGAAACTATCTTTCAACAACTTTGTGGTTAACATGTGGTAGGTCTAGCCAAATACCTGCTGGGTTGTGGTTGGAAAAGGTCATGTTTTGGCTGAAAATACCCAGTGTTGGTGGCTAAAAAGCCGCTTAACACTTTGAAACCTGGAGCGACATCCCTTATCTTGTGCTGCTTTCAGACACCTTTCGCAAGTATTTAAACCTTTGAACCCTGAGCTAATAGGTGTGATTTCTTTCCAAAAACATGTGAAAAAGGGCATTGAGCAACTAGGTAAGAAATGTTAAAAAAAAAAAAGATAATAGGCGAGGCGTCGGTGGCTTAGTGGATGGAGCAGGTGCCCCATGTACAGTACAAGGCTGTTGCTGTAGCGGCCCGGGTTCAGTTCCAGCCTGTGGCCCCCAGCTGCATGCCAGCAGTTTTTTAGCTTTCTTTCTGTCTTTTAAATTTTTTATTTTTATTTTTTCTTGTTTTTGATTTCCTCTTTTCACTAATTTCTTGATCATTTTTAGTCATTTTCTTCTTTCGCTACTCACTGTCTTCTTCCCATGTTTTTAAAAGACATCAAGCCAGTTCGCTCAGGTTTCAAAGGGTTAAATGGCAGCGATGTCTTGGCAAAAAAAACAACTGCTGTCCTGGCAGTATCGCAGCAGTTAACATGACGATGTCTTGGTAGAAAACAGACACCTTTGGTGGCATTATCCCGACAGGACACACAGCCAAGGGTCACTAAAAAAGACCCACATTTGGTGGCCAAAAAGCTGCCGGCAGATGCAGTGATGACCTGCTTAAAATTAATAAATAAATGAAGGTTTTGGTGCAACACTACTATCCTCTCCACTTCCAGATGACAAAGTCAGCTCATTTACTAAATAACTGTAGAAACATCGATACAATACAAATAACATGTAAAACTGTAATGTGGTTTGCAAAAATGTACAATGCCAACATTTCTCCTGGCAACTGCATCCATGTGACTACAAACATACTGTAAAAATGGACCTTCTGTCTTTGTTATTTTTGTATGTTAGAACTCAGTGTTGGAAGGTCAAAAAAGGCGTTTGAGCATTAATGCAAAGTTCTAAGATCAGTTTCCTTTATCCAACCTTTATCCTTTTTTTCCACTAAGGTACTGATGTATATTTTACCAAATTGCCACACTTGTTTAAGGATTAAAATTAGACTCATATTTTAGGTAACAGCGAGACTGCAAAATCATGTCTCTCCACACATATCCTGCTCTTAAACCTCTCACACTTCCATGTGAGTCTTTGTTTGTGCATTGTGTGTTTGTGTGTATGTGTGCTCTGAACATCTCATTAAATCATTTAATTCTGTGATCCAAATACAAGCAAATAAGTTATTTTCAGAGAACAGTATTAAACCCTCTATCAGTCTCAAATTGGTGTTTTAATACAAGATTTGAAATTGAACTTTTTTTTTAAAATTACTAACTGCACATCTCAGGCTTTACATTTTAGGTGATTATGATACATTACTTTTTAAATAAACGATTCATCATTTGGTAAACTTTCATAAAACATACCTTCTATGAACTCTCTCACATTAATTAATTTAAGTTTTGTTGAATATTAATGACTTAGGTCATTTCCAACTTCAAAGTCCCTGGCAAGTTAATTTTACAGTGTCTCAGATTTGTTTTTCAAGGCATACTTTTTGTTTATCCTGGGGTCATATTCATTTTGAGCCCAATGTTCAAAATGTACAAATCTTATAGGGGCTTCAACACTTACAACAAAGTTCTCATCATAAATTACAGATTGGGCAATACACTTCAGTATAAAACTGATTATACTGTTTGGTGCCTCTGTTAACAAATAAAGTCCTCAATAAAATGATTAATGTGATGTCAGGAAAATGTGGACTGTCTCCCACCATCCATCTCTTTAACTGAAGTCACATCAAATCAACAGCATGTTTTCAGGGGCTAGACTCTTACTTTCATTTCAAATAAAAGAAATGGGATACCTTTTATATTGTGGCCTACAGCTATCCAATGTAGCCTCGTTGTCTCTTCTCGTCTTGGTCGATTTTTCACCACATCGCCTGTCTCGCCACTCAGCCTCTTCAAATCCTCTGAGAGGACGATTCCTTTGGCTTCACAACTTGTCAGTGAGGCTTCCAAACCTCTTCTTGTCAACTACTTTAACTGGGGAGTTTAAGAAAGTTGCTTCTGTCCAGCTTTCCATCTTGTTGGAAGACCTTTTAAAGTAGTGTAGAAGAGTGTAAAGTTTCACCCATCTTGTCAGACAGCCTTGTCAGTCAGCCTCGTCAAATCCTCCTCAGAGTCCTTTAGCTTCACAGGCTGTCACAGTTGAGGCGTCTTTCCAAACTTCTTCTTGTCAGACTACTTTAACTAGGCAGCCTTTAAAAAGTTAGGTAAGTTATAATTTTTAAAGCCTTAAAGATTTAGTGTGTAGGAGTTAGGGGGATATATTAGCAGAAATAGAAAACAGAGAGACCTCTGCAGATAATTTGGCTCCCAGTAAAAACCACCTGAATGATGAACACTGGAGGAAATCTACCTAGAAGGAGTTTCAGCTGCTTGCAATCTGCAATCCTTGCCAACAGATGCCACTAAATCCCCCTAAATCTGACACATTGTTCCTTAAATGCAGTGGTTTCCAACTGGTGCAGCCACGGGGTCCAGATTTCGTCTTAGTCATTAGTTCAAGGTCCACACAGTTTAATACATTTGGCATCATACTTGTGTTTAGCCATGTCTTAGAGCTTGTTTGCTGTCTCTGTCAAGTAGCTGTCTATTAGTCACTCAGTCTACAGCAGGAAATGGCACTGGCTCTACATACTGTGTCAGCAACCGTAGCCAGCAACCCCTACACAACAAGCAGCGTTGGAAAACACCTTTTTTTTTAAATGTGAAACAGCTTTACTCAGCATTTTTACCTGATTGTATCACCAGGTCTACTTGTTTGGAGAGGAAGGGACCTCTGTGGATACTTCAGGTCCTGGTAAAAACCTCATGAACAATGAACACCGAAAGAATCCAAACAGGGAGAAGTTTCAGCTGGTTGCAATCATAGACTGTAAAAATAATGGATGTACCTATATGTCACCCCTTGGTTTGTAGACTCCTGTTATGAAGCCTCGAGTTTGGCATTTCAGCCGTCGCCATCTTGACTTTTTGGAGCCAAAAGTGACCATATTTGGGCATGAGGCTGGTGCTGTGGAGGAATGAGGGGCTGATCGAACCTAGAAGCTGAGGATACTATCAGCAGACAGCCTGTCACTCAAAGTGGCCCGCATTAATTATGCGTAACTTAAAGCCTTAATAAAAAGTAAACGGGTGAGTTATAGAAAAAATCCCCCCCCCCCCTGTACAGTTGTCATGAAGGGGGAAATTACCGTTAGAGACCAAAACGGGTCTATGGGGACTGACTTGCTTCTGGAGCCAGTCTCAAGTAACTGTTCAAAGAACTGGCTTCATTTTTCATCTCTGAAGGTTGCTGCTTGGTTGCAATCTGCAATCCTCACTACTAGAAGCCATTAAATCCCCCTAAACCTTACACAGTGGACCTTTAAATAAAAGACCTAACCCTTAAATAACATAAAACAACTTCACTCCTCGGGTTAATAGTCTTCGCTCTGCTTCTTTCAGTAACCGCTGATAAAGGAAAATAGTTTTCAAGAACTATCAGCGGGACAGATAAAGTGTGGCAGTTTGTCAGCCGACTCTTTTGTCATATAAACTGCAGGAAAAGTACAAAGGGATTCATGTTTTTAAACTAAGTGGTGCAGTGCGGGAACCACTGAATAAATGACAGCTTCCTGCAGCACCTAGTGCAAGAGTTGTATTGTTATTGTTCCACACTAATATTGTAATGGACATTTACCAGAGATTGGGACTAAGTCGTTGTTTTGTAAGCAACAAGTTAGTCTGCAAGTCTTTGCACTAAAGCCCCACAATTGCAATTTTTATTTTATTTTGTCAAGTCAAGTCTAAAGTCATCAAACTTGTGCCTCGAGTATGAGCTGAGTCTAAGTCATTCATAGTCTGCACCTCTGATCTCTGACATGGACTGTAATACAAAATTCTTTATCATGACAGATTTCATTCCTCAGCTTCTTTGCAGCCACAGTGACAGGAAGTGAAATGATTAAAAACCAGAAATGTGTTGACATCCTGAGAAATACCATGGCAGTAAAAAGCTCCTTCAATAAGCTTCTTGTGTAATACTGAGCTGTATGTAAAAATACAGGCTGAACCTTGTACATTTGTTGAATATATGGTGTCAAATGTCACGGTCATCAAGATTCCATGTACAATGAACTGATGAAACTGTAAACACTTAAACCATAACCCTGTCACTAAGTACACGCTTTTAACAATCTTCCACACTTAAAGACATTTTTAACACGTCAAGGCTCCCGCCATGTTTGATGCTAAAAACACTGTTCTCTCTCTGAAAGGCTGCCATTTATCTTCAGAAAGACAAACAATAGTACTGTTTGAGATGCACAGACCGTTGCTAGCTCATTTCCAAGGCTATCTTGTAGCTTTGTGAATGGTTTGTATTGGTGTGTACAAAATA